CCCCCCCCCCCCGGACGAAAATATGAAAATCCGTCTCTGGAGTAAATGAACTTGCTGTTTTAAAACTGCAATGCATGACTATTCTTTCGACACAAGAAAGAAAATATGAAACGAAAGTTTTGCCAAGAAAGTTCGAACCTCCCGTTTGGCGTTGTCGGAAACGTGAAGCTTAAACTCCCTAATAACACCAGAAAGCTACTACTACCTAAAACTTCGAGCGAAGTTAGGCCCTTCGTTGGGAAGTTCGTAGCGAAGTTAGTAACTTCCCGACGTAGCGACTTCCCGACGGAGGGACTTCGCTCGAAACGTCGAAGTTCTCCTTGTATTTTTCAGTCGCATTCCTAGTAGGGACCTAGCCAGGATTATCAATCTTCCCGTCCAAAAATGTTTCTCTTGGAATAAATCTTTATCTTCTAAAAACGTGATTTTTAGCAGTCAAAAGAACACGTGCAACATTGCGCTCAAAACTGAAAAGCAAACTGCATGGTTGACATCACTAACATATCCGCACAAGTTTTTGTCAAAATCGACTTAAAACACTAAATGTTTTGCTAATACATATAGGGATTTGTAACTTGTTTCCTTGTGGATGTATGTGCTGTACTAAAGACAAAAAAGTCCATGATCCCTTCCCATCCGAAGTTCTGTGTGAATGTTACCTTTTCTTGCTCTTCAGCCGCCAATCTCGCTGCTTCTTCCTTCGCTTTTCTCTCGGCGACTTTTCTTTCCTTCTCTTCTTCACGGAATTTCTTTAAACGAGGATCACAAGCGTAGCAGTTGTCTGGAAAAAGAGAATCTGGATGACAACGCGATAGTGACTAAAACATTATGTTTGTGATGTTACTCTGAGTGTATATCCACACCGGGCAGGCTTGAAAAATATGCCTGGCCACGGTGGGAATCGAACGTACGACCTTTGGAATGCCCAATGCTCTGCCAACTGAGCTACGCGGTCAGGTCGGTTCGAGTATGTGATATTTCGGAACTGAGTCTAGTTCCTTCGATATCATGCAATCTTGTAATCATGCATGTTTTTTTTCTGTGCTGGTGTTATGTACTCAGGTAAATATGATGCTTGTGATGTTCTCTGAGTGTATAAGCTTGCCCGGTGTGGATATACAGAGTAACAACACAAGCATCATATTCACATAACACCAGCACAGAAAAAAAAAATCATGACGAAAACATTGTTTAGGACTGTGTTTGCATAATTGCACTGCAAGTTCAACAAGCTCGGAAAACATCACGCTATCTTACCTACTAAAGTTCGTAGTCTTGTTGTTTCCTCCTTTTTTCGTTTCTGCCTCATCGCTCTGTTCTGCTTCTCCATCCATCTTCGTTCATCGCGACTTTTTAAGAGAAAGAGTATGTTACAGTAATAATAGATAATTCCCCTTTATAGACTAATTTTAAAACTAGGCAAGGAGATGCAAATAAATCACCACAGTTTATAGAAAGAGCATACTAAAATTAGTAAAATTGCAAAGTTTGGTTGCGAAATGCTGTAAAATGCAGACAATATAGCCTTGCAAAGTTCGCAAGTTTTGTATACTTTTGTATTGTGGGCGGAAATTGCTACCACTTTCGGCCCAAATGTGATAGCAATTTCCGCACGCAATACAAAAGTATACAAAATTTGCGAACTCTGCAAGGCTATATTGTCCGCATTTTACAACATTTCGCAACCAAACTTTGCAATTTTATTCATTTTAGTATGCTCTTTCTAGCTGTGGTGATTTATTTGCACCCCCTTGCCTAGTTTTAAAATTAGTCTATAATGGAAATGTTTATTTGGAAGACAAGTTTGTTGAAAACGAGGCACTGGCTGGGTGTGGCATCGAGACAATGAGACGCCGCTGATTTCGTTTGTGTTTTGATGAATGATTAGGAAGCACAGACCTTTCGCCTTTTTCTTTCTCTTCCTCATCCAAATACGAAAATTCCCTCCACGAGTCAAAATCATACCTGCAGAGTGAAACGA